ACCCAATCTATTCTATGATTCTATGATAAGCATGAAGACAGATTTTCACACGCATTAAGTATTAAATAAGAGCTTCAAAAGAGAAAACTGGACAACAGCAACTCCAAGAGTACTTTGCTTCAGTCTAACATCCAATCTTCACTACAGTCCTTCACCTTTTACACTCCAGAGGTACTTATAAGACAATCATAAGAAGTCAGGGATGCAAACTTTATCACCTCTACTTATTGTGCAGAGGATCCAAGACTTTAAGGCCAGTAGAGCCTACACTGGGAATCTGGCCTACAGTCACAAACCGGGATCAGTTGTGGCTTTACCTGCGGAAGGTCGGGTGAAATCATACTGGTCTCTGCATTGCAAAAACACATCAATGAGTGGAAGAAAGCTCTCCATGTTTCTCCTGAGGTATTTTCCACCGGCACTGCTCAGACACCACAGCTCGAACTGCAGCAGGTGAGTCCTACAGTGTTTTATCAGCATGCCCACAATGGCAAGAGAGGTTTCTGATCTCTGGTTAAGGCAGTGAACATGCACCTCTACACTGACTGCGCGTGCAAGGACTGGCTCGCTTTGGAGAGCCTGAAGGAAAACTTTCTCCAAATCTTTGCTGGCTGATGCTGACATCAATATCCCCAAAGCTTTAACGTGCTCTTTGGATAGCAGTAGTTCTCCTTGTTGGGGCTGCCTTTGGTAGCTCTCTGTGAGGAGCTGCACCAAAATCTGTCCATAGAAGCTCAACTGCTTCCCTTTTTTAGGGGATTTTTCAGATTTCTGAGTAGTCAGGCTCATCTCAGGAAGTTGCAGCATGGTTAAAGTGATCTCCTTCAGCGGAGCTGCAGCCATGTACATGTGCAACTCCTCCAGAGCCTCCAGCTGGTAAGATTTCTTGGGAGAGACCTGGCTTCTCTCTTTCCCCACAGCCTGTAGCTCTTTCAAGACGCTTTTTGTGATAGCTTCAAAATACTTCGATACCACATCTTTGTGATTCGTGCTCTGCAACATCGGGACACCCGTTTTCAAAAGCTGGAGCACGCCAGAATTGAGGTGAGCTGACAGGAGCTTCACAGTGACAGGGTTTAAACTGTGCTGAGGAAGAGAACGTTGTTCTAAAGCCAGGAACCAGCTCTCCAGCGTAGGATGTCTGAAAATCAAGATGAGCATATCTTCTAGTGTCTGTAACAAATGGTTGTAACAGTATCACTGAATGGATAATTATAGTTTGGAAAAAAAATAATCATTCATCTGCCCAGTCTCCAAAGCATGTCTATTACAATTACTGAACATTTAATTCTTTATTAACTGGTCAGAGGATAAAAATATTAACAAATTACAAGCACATAAATACTATTCTTCCAACATTTATGATATAGGATGCACACCATCACTCAACATTCTCCACATGTTTAAGCACTTCCATGGGAAAACCATACATTCTGGGGTTTGTCAATACAATTCTATTCTAATCTCCATAAATCCACAGAACAGATGAAAAGGGGGCAACTATTCACTTCTCCAAGTACATAATTTTCATAAACAAGATTTACACAGGGCTTCTATAGAATTTCTTCTGCAAAGGTCAGCGATCTCTCAGGACTTCTCCTGACTGCATTACAGCTCAGGGGTGAGACTGTGGATGATGCAGCTTGGTCAAATCTCCAGACAGTAGTCTTGCAACTGCTGGACCACATGTCCAAAGTTCCTAAGTCCTCCTCCTAGACCTTAAGAGCATCTCTCTGCATCAACCTGTTTCCACGCGATACAACTCTCTGAAACGCATAGTGTATGATCTCCTGTTCACTCCCTGTCCTTCTGAGGACCTGGCAAAAGCTATAGTAATGCTTCTACAAAGCAGTAAAATCCTGTTCAAACCCTTATATAGCGAGACACACTTCAATCCTAACTGAAATCCCAGAAATCCTCATGACTACTATCAAGTTACAGCACTCACAAAGCCTGATCCCTGCTAGATCCCCTGTTCTCTGTCACATTTAGCCAGTTTCATGTTTTGGTGATCAGTGAAAATATATCGACATAATTTGTGCTTAAAAATATTTAATGTTTAAGATCATTTGCTTAGTTAATGGTTCAGCAAAACTTATTACTATTTCCCTAGAGAATACATCAAATTAAAGTTTACTAACAGGTGAGCTTCTGGCCTGTGTATCAAGGAATTAGGTACCTTGTCATTTGAAGACTCCTCTGTAATCAGAGATTCCTCATCCATAAAGAGATCTGACTCAGTCTGATGCTCTTCTCGTTTCTGCTGATTATTCAACTCTATCTGATTTCCCCGGCACAACATGCTGCTTAGCAGGTCCACATAGAGGTCAACAAGGTGAGGACCAAAAGTTTTATTAAGCTGTGAAAAAACAAACACCTTGGAAGTTGAGAAAAGAGAAGGATGGTAGCAGAAGAATAATTATCCAACAGGAACTGAAATTAACTAAGAACTTCCTAGATTACAACCTTTTCTAGGGGAAGGAATCACTCCCCTCTGTAGAAACCTGATTCTAGGAAAGGTCTTAGGGTGTCAAATAAGTATTTATAGATTTTCATCTACACTGCAACTTTTGGTGTAACAAAGGCTGATGAATTTCGCTCTCTGGAGAGGCTTCTTGTGGAAACCCAGGAGCTGGATTAAAATCTGGAGTTTATTATCAGTAAGGTAACCCATGCAAAGTAAATCCAAGACTCCTCAACAATTAGAAGGATAGACATTTGTTTACAAATTAGGTGCAGGTCTGTCTGGTGCTCTGTAGCCTCAGAGAGCTGAGTATGTGAAAAAGCTGCAGAACTGGATCCTTAAGTTTTAACAGCCAAGTCATTTGTACTTGCTGCCTTAAAATAAACCAAACAAAACCGCAATATCATCACAATATTGCTCTTACATTGCCAAAGTTCTCCACTGTGGATTTCAGGTATAGCAACACATGCTTTACTCCTAACAAAAGCTGTTCAGGTGGGAGCTGGGAAGCTAAGTCTCTCAATTTTGTCTGGATATCCTCTTCCAGTAAGGTGTTGCTTCCTCTCTCATAGGCTTTCTTTAGCAAAGTGGTAAATACAGAATCCAGGGCCACAGCAGGTTCTTTGCATCTCTCTTTGTGGTTTTTAAACTGTTTAAAATGGAAAAAAAAAAGAGAAAAATAAAGACAAATATGAATCAAAAGTTTCTTTAGCTACCTCTGTTTTGAAATGAGTTCTGTGCTGAAACCAGACTGAAGTTCCAGGAGCTAGTCAAAGGTGTCCCATGGCAAATCTGCACATAGTCACTGCTTGGCTAACAGAGAAACACAGCAACCCCTAGCACAGCTGGTCCATGCCTTCCCAACCCATACCTGGGTGAACTTCAGCCACTGTAAACTGGCTCCTCAGGCCACATCACACATTACATGGTTGATGAGGAGAGCTGTAGTCTGGGTGACTGCATACAACCCTTGAGCCCTGACCTCACTTCCCAACCACAGCACAGACTTCTTGTGTCATTGCAGTAAAGCCTTGAGCAAATTTTTGTCCCAATGTGATCAAGAAGCAGTAAAAAATTAGCTTAATGTAAATACACTTTCTGATGGAAATGTAACCTTTATACACTCTGAGGTTTTAGAGTCATACTGTTTCAAGCATTCAGGTGACTTCAGGTTTTCCATACCACAGGTTCCTGAGATTGCTGGGGTATCCAGAGTTTGTAGTACTGGTTAAATTGGTAGAGCTGAGGATACTTAGAAACTTTCAGGGACTGTAGATCTTTATCATAGAGCTGGAACATCAAGCAGAGGGCGAGGGGTTCTCTCTGAGAGTGCAGGAGGTCAGTGAAAACAGCAACAAGATACTCTACAATGTGTGCTCCTACAAAAGCAAAATAAAAAATTAAATTTCTGTTGACAGAAGTAATCTGTATGAGCACAAACATGAATGCAAACTTCTTTCCTTAAGGCCTGCAAAACAGGCCATATAGCATCATTTAGGAAAGTACTGAATAGGATTAAAAGATGTTTGTGATAAGCTAGACAAGTGTTCCTGACCCACTGAGGTCAGAAAAATCCTCCATACAGTAGTCCTTTTTGAAGTAAATAATCACCCCACTTTAAGATACATGCTCAGCCTGTTTCCTTCCAGACAAGCATAAAACTAACTCCATCTTTACTGTGTTGTGCTAAACTTATCTGTATTTTGATGGATAAGGACCCCAGCCAAATACTCCCCCTAATTTGTACTGGGGGAATATGCCCAGGTTAACATGTACTCATTAAATATAAAGGATTTTCTTTCAGAATTGGTATTTTCAGTCCCACTCCAGGTACCACTCAACAGCCAAATACACACAGGACTTAGTGAGGTGCTGTGGGGTTTGCAAACCCTGCTCTGAGGCCAACTGCACTCCAACAAATCCTCTCCTCGAGGAGGTGGTAGAACTTGGCAACTCTCATCCCTGGAGCTTCATCTCTCAAGAAGTTTTCTTTGGGAAATGTACCCATTTTCTATTCAATAGTCCAGTCCTCCTTTCCCCTACTGACTGGTCACCATGGAAGAGCTGCCTACAGCCACTGAAACCACCTCCCTCTCATGATCAGCATATTCTGTGCTTAAAACACACTATTACTGAACTGCAACAGCTTCCAGGTTAAGACTGTTCATGCAGGGACAGTGCCTCTGCACTGCTCCTCAGTCCCCTCTATACTGTGGTCAGAGCCTGAGGTCATTCTCCTCCCCCACTTTCCTGCACTTCACAGGGAGGGGAAAGGCAGGCTTTCTTTTTCTAATTTGTGCAAGTTTGTTTTCCCACACTAGGAGCTCCCTAGAGTCAAACAGCAGTTTACAGAATGCCTGCGTTTCCATCTCTTCTCCCTACCCCAAAAACCAAGAGCAGGTTTCCTTAGGGTCAGGGAAAAAGGATAGAAACACCTCATAAGCTATAAAGCCTCTCTTGAGCAGGGAACACCATGGATCTGCACCTCCTTCTGCTTGCAACGAAGATGATAAAATGTCTCAGGGAGCTCACTGTGTAAGAATGATCCCACTTCCACTCCACTTAGCATAGACAATACACAGAAACAAAAGTCTGTACCTGTTCCATTTTCAGTCTGAAGCAACAGTATATTCCTGGCTTCTAATGCAGCAGGGACAACAGCACTGAATGGAAATGTTTGGATAATCATGTCTTCATTTAAAGTGAACCCAATTTCTTCATCTAAGCCATCACTGCCCTCAATTAGGACATCCACCATATCCAGGACATCTATTAAGTGAAGAAAAAATGTAAGCAGAGGACTCAGACTAACTAGAAACCAACAGAGGTAGAATCCAACGCTCCAAAACAGCAGCTTCAAAGGATGAAGCTTCTGAATTCAAGAAAAGCAGAAAAAAGGATGAAAGTCACATTTTTCTATCAATGTAATGGTAAATGCAACTGTAAAAATCACTGTTTTATTGTGTGCTTAACTTTACTTTTTGCTTTTCAACACTGCTGACCAGCTGACAGAAGATAAGGGAAGAGGTGCATCACCTACTGCTATCACGATGGCACTGGGTAAGGACTATCAGAGCACAGCAGTGACAGGAAATGTATATAGGTAAGTACAAAGGAAGCAGCCACTTCCCCATTAAGAGAACACTCTGAGCAGTCCTTGAACAGCTGCTCAGCTCTACATGGCCAGAGAACCAAATCTTGGTCATGAAAGAGCCAAAACCAGTTTTAACATACAAAGATACAATGTATTCCATAGCTGATTTAACGTCTCTGTAACACAGTGAACTCAAGGCAACTGATCCATCTGTTACTGAGTGCTAAACTACCTCAGTTATCTTACCTTCAGGTACTGCAAAATGCTACACATGGACTGTTATAGTAGAACAGCTACCACATGGTAAGTTGTTCAAGTGTCCACATCTGCAGAATTTTGAGTTTGTCTGCAGTAGGGCTGTGACTGGTCCCAGAGAGCAGGAACAGCAAAATTCCAGCTGCGTGTCTGGGAATAAGAAAGTTCCCTGGGAACCCCAGCCCTTTCCTCCTGGATGAAGAACCCAAGGAGAACAACTGTAATAGTTTTAATTTTAGTTAGAAAATGCTGCTGCAGGAGCCTGAAGAGAGATTTAAAATACTGTTAAAACAGCGTAACTGTGTAAGAAATTACTTTAGGGGGTAAAGTGCTAACTTTGCAATTCAGACTTCTACTTCTGATACCAAATACAACTGGAGGGCTGAATCCTGTAGGTCCTTACTTAAGCAGGATTTCTATAGTTATCAATTGTCAGTTTATTTAACACAAAGTCTTGGAATTCTCTGAACTGCCACATACCGTCAATGTGCGAGACGGGGATGCTGACATTATCAGAGTCTTGTTTAAACATATTAACTTGGAGCATACTGGCTTCCTGGACAAGGTCTGCTGCTTTATCTGTGTATGGATAGGGGTTTGTCACCAGTTTCAACAGGATCTGTTAACAAAGGTTGAGAGAGAAATTAATGTGCATAGACTATTAAGTCTATGGGAAGTACATCTTGTTAAGAAAGACTACGTTCTAAAAGTGGTTGGAAGCTGGGAAAGCTCTAGGAGGACAATTTCCACATATTTCTGCAGGAACCTGCCTTTGGTTACTGCTGTAGATGGGACACTGGGTCAGATGGAAAAAGCAATGTCCACTGCAATTTTGCACCTAAAGTGCTACCATAGACTGAGTCCCTGGGGAAACTGCAATGAAAAGGAAGCACTGGGCACTTAACATCCTGAAAAGTAAACAGGAAATGTCAACGTTTCTTGTAAAAGACTACAATTTACTCAGGTCTGATAATTTTGGCACGTATTGCCACACAAAGAAAAGAGGAGATAAGAGCTACCCCCACACACAACACTACCCTTAAACCAACAATGCTGTAATAACAACTTATCTTTCCAGATTTAATTTTCCTCCAAATCATTTCACTGTTTTCCCACCCAAGACAAGAAAGATGTCAGCTCTATATAAAGAATTACAAACATTGTTTTTCTCAGAATTCATTCACTGATCTTTGACAGGTTTCTCAATGGCAACAAAATAATTAGTTTCCATTAATGCTATTCTTGGCATTGTTTATCCAGCTAATTTGAGCAGTTGTTACCCTTTCCAAAAATTGAATCACTGCTTCCTTTTTGTCTTCTTTTGTATTATCCAAGTGTTCCAGCCAAACTGAAAGTTCCTTCCATGTATACTCAAACACTCCACTGTCACGTAAAACCTGTCCAGAAAACCAAAGCAGGGGGTAAAAAAAACCACAAAAACAAAGAACTAGAATATAAAACCCAAAAAAAGCACAAACCTTTTTGTATGGCAACTTCATGTTCTCTTCTTCTTGGAAAGAAAAAAAGAAGAGCAGGTTGCTGAAAATAAATATGTCATTCTCACCCCCTCAGTTCAAGAGGCCTTATTCCCACTCACCAGAGCCACTCTGACTGCATAACAGAGGGTAAAACTGAATGCATTTTTTAAAACAAAATCTCCCAAGACTGTATCACCTGGCTTCAGTGTAACTAGGACCAAGGCCTAGAGCTGTTCGCTTACTGCTCTCTCAGAATGAGCAGTAAGAAGTGAGGCATGACTATGTCACAGGTGACAAATGAAACCCACTGAGCTCTGCCAGGCACACATAGGATCTGTAGGAAAAGGGCAAGAAGCAGTCCTGGGGCAGAGAAAGGAGGGCTTTAAGAATGACCAAAGTAAGAAGCAAAACATGGTTTACTCTCTCACAACTGGAAAAATCAGCTGATAGCAACTTCTTTCTGCTTCCTCGGAGCCTCTCCTCCTTTCACCAGCTGTCTGCAGCACAAACCCAGTACAACTCCACCTGGTTCCTGCCCTCACACTGACCATGTGTATGGGATGGATCCCATAAGCACCCCATTCAAGTGCGCTGCCAACAGCTATTCACCAGACTGGGCACTCAGCACATGGTGATCTCACTATGGTTCATTCCCAGGCATGTGGAATACAACACTTGTACAAGCACTCAGGGCACAGGAACCTGTTTCTGCACATGCCAGGGCAGTATGCACCGGATCCAGAGGCTGCTGTGCTACCTGCAGTGCTGCTCATTGCAGCAGCCTCTCTGCTGCTTCACTGCTCAATGCCTACGGTGCAGGGACACAGAGGACAAGAGCCACAGCCATGGCCCATCTACCTCCCTGGTCCCAGCCTGCAAAAGAGCCTCATGTGCTGGACAACTTCAGTGGAGCTAATGTGTCCCCTGACCCATCCCACAGCCTGAAACGCAAGACATGTTCCCTGCAACAGTGGCTACTACTACGCTGTCTCACACACTGGCCAGGAAGGTCCCCCCAAGGCACAGCTAAAGGTAAGAGCCAGGATAAAGGCTAGCAGGACTTTTGGTCCAACCACATCAAGTCCTTCTGTTGTCAGCAGGCAGTCAGCACAAAGCCTACTGAGGTCAAAGTTGCCTGGACACAGAGCATTCATTCCCTTCACCTTAGAAAATCTCATCCTTATAATTTCAGGGAACAGGCTATACTGCTTTAAGAGGGTTCCACATCTTTATACCATCAAGAAGCAAAAGACACCATACTCTTAAATAAAGCAGCCTGTAGGGGGGCTTTTGAAAACTACTGATGTAATATAAAGGAAAATGACTGCTAAATTATATCTAATACCAGGTTACCTGTTCTTAAAAGATTTGGGCAGATGGGTAAACAGTCAAATAAATGAACACGGGGTCATGACCACGTCCAGAAAGAAGCGTAGGCATACTCATGCTTGCTGTGGGTGGTGAGGTAGACACAACTTTACCACAGTCAAGTAACAGGCATTGAAATATTTACATGTTTTTGCCCATTTTCATGCTATCTAAATTCAGGTCCTTATCTAAGGCACCTAAATTAGCAATTTGGTGACCCTATGCTTTGTCTGTAAAAGAAAGAAAGGAGGAAGAGGGAGAACAGGAGGAGGAGGAATGACTGTCTGAAGGACAATCCAGATGACAGGCAATCTGAACCACACAGCGATAGAATCACGTGCCACTCACTCTCAACAGCAGAAGAAAACTTGACCAGCTTCCTAACTCTGGCATCTACGTTAAATGACTGTAATTATGCGGGACGAATCCATGCTTTGGTTTCTCCCTACACACAAAATATAAAGGAAACTATCACAGCTCATTTGCTCTACATTTACTCTGTGTACAGCACCATCAGCTATAAAAATAACATCGCTGCTTACACAAATGTGACAGGATAATTCATTTAAATAAAGAAAAAATAATTCATTTTTTAAATAATTAACTATTTTTGGCAGAGTCTTGAAATAGAAATACACTTGCAGCTCTCATGAAAACAGGCAGGAACAGAATGTGAAATCCAAAAACATGCCTTCCGATTATATGGTGCTGTGTTGAAAAATAAGCAAAACACACTCATTAACATCTATTCTTAGCAGCCTTTCTGCTGCCATAACTGCCCTAACTTCACTGGTCCTGTATTCTCTTCAGAGAAAATTAAATGGACTCAATCTAAAAGAGGAAACAAGAATGAGTCAGGCAGCCCACATCTCCACTCAGTAAAAGAATCCAAATACACTAGAAAACCTGTACTGGTTAGCTTTTGAGGTATTTATTACTGTGAGACAAAGTTAACCTGCCTTTCATCCCCTGCAGGGATGAACAGCAACTGAAACCTAATTCAATCACTGTAACTTTGGTGCAGTGGTTTGGACATTATAATTGCACCCTGTGACTGAAGCTAAATGCAGAAATTAAATGCACGAAGCTGTATACAAACTTGTACACCACCATTATTATGGGACATTGCACGAGGAGCTCTGTTCACAGCTCAGAACAGCTTTTTGGATTTTCTCCTGCAGGGGACATTTGTTTGGTTTGGTTTGTTTTTAACAGGGGTCTCTACCCCTACTTAGGTAACTTAAAGATGCCCAGTTTTAAAAAGATATTAGAACTGACAGCTGCTGGTGCCCTCATGAGATTTGTAGTTGTTCAGCACTTCTGAAGTCAGATAATTTAAATGCAGAGAAGGGGATTTTAATTCATTTTTAAGACAAAAGTACTCCCTGCATCAGAGCTTGTATCAGAGTGTAACAAACAGAACTACTTTGCAAGGCCAGAGCAAACTAGCTAAGGCTTTAGGAAGGCCACAGTGATGAAATGAAGATAAAACAAACAAGGATGAAAAAGAAAGATCAAAAATAGTATCTTCTTGATCAATGTCAAGATGTTTACAGGTACAAATTACATCAGTTTATTACAGTATCAGAATTAATTCAGCCTAGGGGTTGGTGGACAAGCATTAAAGATATTTTCCTCATTAATTCATCAACTGTTGCAGCAAATTCAGTTGACAGCATTTACTTCCATTAAATATTTACCTAACAGGTAGCTATCTTTCAGTAACTTCCAAGAACAGTCACAGAAAATGAGAAAGAAGACTGTTGGCCACCCAAGTATGCAGTAAAGGTATTTGCTTCAAGAAAAATTTTAGAACACGTAAATTTCAGACTAATGGGATATTGTGAATATCCTGGTATTTCAGATCAAACACTTACCTTGATGATCAATTTTTTGGTTGAAATTTTCAGATGAGAATGGTTACTTGTAACATACATTTTCATCAGTAAATAGAACACAGATTTTTCACCAGATACCTTCTCTGTCTCAGAAACATCCTAAAAAAAAAAATATATATATATATTAAAATTCCTCTTGTACAGTAGCACTGTACAGGATTATGTTGCACTGAAGCAGATACGTAATAAAAGTATATTATTTTATACACCTGCCCAAAAATACCAAGGCCAGAAAAGAATGAGACTGTTTATACTGCTTTGCATTCAGTCAGTCAGGAAGATGAGTACAATGTTTTTTTGGAAAGTGGAAGAAGAGAGGAGTAACAGAAACACCAATGAATACAAGGGTCCAAGACAAAGCCATCTTCCTCCCCAACCATCCATCCTACTTCTATTTCTGTCATACCCAGGAATTCAGATTTCCTACAAGTACTGTCTGAAAAAGAAATATAATAATTTAAGAGACTGATCCCCAAAGAATAGGAAAACAATGCAAGTCACAGGGATGCTGAACGCTATCTGAACGTCAAATGACAATCCTTCAGCCACCTCCCCTGCTTTTCTCACTGATTTGCATCTGATGTCTAACAACTGTAACCCTCTGTGACACTGCCAGATTTGGCTTTTATCTTTTCTGTTAAAACTGTCTATCCGAGAAGGGAAAAGCCACAAGAAAATACTTTAGCTTCTTTGCCTCTTTCCAGGTTTTCCTTTGCTTGCTCTTAACTCTCCTCAGTTTTCCTGTATGGCCAACTGGAAAGGACAGAAAATCTACTACAAGGCAGAGTCACAGTCACAACACCCATGGGTCTCTCTGCTTCCCCCCAAAGCCAGGCCCACTCTTTTCTCCAGACAAGAAAAGCAAGCTCTGTGCAGCTCTCTTCCTTAAAAGGCCTGCAATAAAGAAGAGAGCAAAGGCCCTGAAGGTTTCCAGTAATTATGGAGAGGAGGGACAGATTTAACAAACGCCAGAATCTTTCCTGGGAATGGGTGGGATGGCTGCCATCAAGCAGCTCATTGCCTTGGTCTGAAATCTCGGGCTTTCCAGACAAGTGGAAACCAGCAAATTCTCACTCTTGCCCCTCTCCAAGGAAAAAGGCTGAAGGAACCTTGTCCAGCCCTCTTCAGGGAGGCAAAAATTTCTGTCCTTGTAGAAAACTTGTCAGCTCAAAAGGGATTCTTCACTCAGATTATAATTTCTACTGGTTTTACGAAGGAGTCACCTCCTAAAACTACTGGACCGGGACTAGTTTAAAACTAGGCAGTGCCAGATGTAAAGATTTGAGGACAACAGCCAAAGACACATAAATTAAGTCTCTTCAGGTGTCTTACCTGTACTCTGAACCAAGCAAATTTGTTTGCAGGAAGTTCCAAAGCCACTTTCAGTATATGGTGCTGCAGAACAGGAGGGACCTCCTCTCGGAGGCCCTTTTCAGTGACGATACCTGAGGTTTGAAGGCAATACAATCAACTTGATTTTGGTATATCTTCCCGAGATTTCAGAAACATTAATCATTTAGGGTTTCAAAACACCACTGTAAAATAAGCTGGCAATCCACAAATTTTCATGCCATGAGATCCCCAGACGTGCTATGATTATGCTTGGCCAACCTAAAGGCCAGAATTCAGCCCTCAGCAGGGGGAGTCTAACACCTGCCCCCAACACAAGCCATCGCTGGAGCAGAGGAATACAAAATCTCTTCTATCTGCCTCAGCAACCCTGAAAAGCTGTGTCCTACGAAATAAAGAGGATGGATAAACTGGAGACCAAAGTACAGAATTTAAGTCAATAACAAATCTTAATGCTTATACTGTTACAATATTTGCCACAGGCAATGGAACTTTACACTTTTGTCTCTCCCTACATCACTTTTATCATCTGGTCACAACAACTGCTTTGGCGTAGCTGCAGAACTATTCACCTTACAGGTCACACAGCTGTGGAGAGACCCTCACAGTGTGCTCCAAAAATTGACTTGGCCACACTTTAACTGCAGTTAAGTTACATACAGAGATCAGCTACATAAAGCTTTGGTGTCTGTGTCCTTTTCATAGTCTGTGTAATATCTTTGTGGCCCGTGATAGGAAAAAGAACAATAAACTTTTAATATGCAGCATTACTAGAAAGTATAGCCAACAGTAAGACCAAACAATAAAACTGTACCAGCTGTGTAAAGCACATATTGCTACAGGGTAGAAAAACATACTGCCTTTAAAATGTATGTTTCAATCAGAGTGAGGGGAAGGAATGACAGGCTCTCAAGCTGGCATCTGAGGGAAGGAAATGTCATTATTAATTTACACCATCATTTACTACCATATCATCTTTCATCAAAATTAATATCCAGGCTCACTTCATTACATTTGTTTGAGAATGACATTATTTTCCATCCTGTTCAACTTTTTATTTCATACTGTAACAAAACATGCCATCAGAGAGATTTCTGTCTCACAAAAGGGTGCCCTGCCTTTTGTCCATTTTGAAAAAAGCAGACCAACACAAGAAATAATGGAATAAACAGGATATGTGATTTGGTGAGTCATCAAGTATACAAACCAACTGATAGAGGGAGGAAAAACCTCACACAGGAGATAATTGATTCAGAGGGGTTTTTTGTTTAAGGCCCTTTTTTTAGGTTAGCAAATGTGATGCCCATCTGCAAGAAGGGCTGGAAGGAGGATCCAGGGAACTACAGGCCTATCAGTCTGACCTTACTGCTAGGGAAGGTGATGGAGCAGATCACCTTGAGTGCCATCACATGGCACACACAGGACAACCTGGTGATCAGGCCCAGCCAGCGTGGGTTTATGAAAGGTAGGTCCTGTCTGACTAACCTGATCTCCTTCTATGACAAGGTGACCCACCTAGTGGATGATGGAAAGGCTGTGGATGTGGTCGTGGTGGTGAATGGAGTTAAACCCAGATGGAGGCCAGTCACAAGTGCTGTTCCCCAGGGCTTAGTGCTGGGGCCAGCTCTGTTCAATGTTGTTATCAAGGATCTGGATGAGGAGATTGAGGGCACCCTCAGTGAGTCTGCAAACAACACCAAGCTGGGCAGGAGTACTGATCTGCTTGAGGGTAGGAAGGCTCTGCAGAGGGATCTGGACAGGCGGGATTGATGGGCTGAGGCCACTGTATGAGGTTTAACAAGGCCAAGTGCCGGGTGCTGCACTTGGGTCACAACAACCCCATGCAATGCTACAGGCTTGGGGGGGAGTGGCTGGGGGGGGGCCCCGCCGGCTGGGGCTGATGGTCGACAGTCAGTTGAATATGAGCCAGCAGTGTGCTCAGGTGGTCAAGATGGTCAATAGCATCCTGGCCTGTATCAGAAACAGTGTGGCCAGCAGGATTAGAAAGCAATCGTCCCCCTGTACTCAGCACTGGTGAGGCTGCACTTCAAGCACCATGTTCAGTTTTGGGACCCTCGCTACAAGAAGGACGTGGAAGTGCTGGAATATGTCCAAAGGAGGGAAATGAAGGTGAAGGGTGTGGAGCACAAATCATATGAGGAGATATTGAAGTAACGGGGGTTATTTAGTCTGGAGAAAAGAAGGTTGACAGGAGACCTTATCACTCTCTGCAACTACCTAAAGGAGGTTGTAGCCAGGTGGGTATGAGTCTCTTTTCCCAAGTAACAGGTGAGTGATAGGATAAGAGGAAATGGCCTCAGGTTGTGCCAGGGCAGATTTAGATTGGATATTAGGAAAAATTTATTCACCGAAAGAGTTGTCAAGCACTGGAACAGGCTGCCCAGGGAAGTGGCTGAGTTACCATCCATGGAATACTTTAAAGACATGTACATGTGGTGCTTAGGGACACGGTTTAGTGTTGGACTTGGCAGGCCTAGGTTAATGGTTTGAGTCAGTGATCTTAAAGGCCTTTTCCAACCCAAAACATTCCATTATTCTTTGCTTTTTTTTTCCCATCAGACTTTAATTAAGCTGTTTTCATAATGCTCATTCTTGCATATCCCAGACCTGCCTAAAATCCAGACAGTTGCTCTAGTCTGGTGGCCTACAATCTCTGGTGGCCCAACAGACAATAATGATGCCCAAACAACATTCTGCTCTCTCCTCCAGTCTCAGTTTTAAATGGTTGTATTTATTGTACCACAAAGAGTACTGGAGGATCTTGCCCACAGTCCATAATTTGTGGCTCATCCTCCTTGCTGCCTTAAGCAGATACAGAACGTCTCTGTTTACTTTGGCTGTATGAAGAGGAATACCCTCTGTGAACATGACATCAGAGACAAAAATACAACAATATTGCTAAAGTGCTTCCTCATACAGATTTTCCACAGGAGATAATAGCATACTGTTCTCCCCACACACTGCCAAACTATAAGAAAATAATTCAAAACACAGAAACTGGAAAAAATACTTCAATATTAAAAGATTTTCCAGAGGAGACTGGTGAATTGGTATGTGCTTTTCCCCCACCCCAAACTTCCTGGGAATTATCCTGTTTAAAAAAAAAAACAAAAAAAAAAGTATCATTGCAGCTAATAAGAAGTCAGAAATAACTTGCTTATGTTGGATTGCTGACATAGGTCTAGGGGAATTACACCCTCAGATCTCATTAAGAGTTGTAGGCAAGTCTTCCTCAGAAACATTAACATTAAAATTAAAACCCCATAAAGACAAAATTTTTGCAAGAATACAACACACAAAGAAGACGACTGTAATGCTCCATACCACTTAAGACAACTGAGTGCAGCAGAGCAGCTATGGAATTTAAGAGGGCAGAGTGCCAGAGCACTGCAGAATAGCAGCAATAAATGCCAACACAATGAAGAAACTAAAATGGGTTAATTTTAGAAAATAATTCTTTCTCTTATCTGCACAGAAGAGCAAACATTCCCTTCTGCTGTGGACTTTGTAAATAACCAGAGAAAGCAATGAAGTTAACAGAAATACCCATTACATACCTTTTAGCAGCTTGCTAAAATCAAAGTTGCTCCGTGCTACCAAGTGGGGCACAACTTTCTGATAAAGGCATATGACCTGAAGCAGTGCAGCTTTCAGGAACAGTGTCTCAGCATCATCTGAACCTAAAAGTGTTCACATAATTACTTCCACCTTCCTTCATACCCAGAGAGCACAGTATAGCATCTGTATTATCCAACATGAGAATTACTATTTCCAATAGACTTGCCTATGAAATGACCAGTTATCTTCCTCACTAACAAGAAGAAACAGAAAAAAACATGGAACCCACCGTTTCCTTCCCCAGCACTCCTGCGTGAATACTTTTAAAACCAAATCAGTTTATACAGCGATTAAATGGGCAGTTGCCATTTCTAATTTGATTCTAAAGTGCTCACACATATAAAAGACAACCTGAACATTATAACACTCACTGTGAGAATCCAATCAGTCCCACTGCTGTTTGATTTAAGGCTGAACAACAGAAAAAAGTGAAGGAAAGGATATGGTCATGCTGCTGGTGTCTGGGGACGCTATTTTTACCTAATGCCAGGCAGGTTTGACTGGGGACGTGCAGGAGACAGTGAACTAATTTATTACTAATTTGTTACTTAAGTTAAAGGTTTCTTTCTTTCCCTTCCCTCTTTCAAAATAATGGTTTCTCAATGTGACCTCTTGGCAAGAGGAAGACAACAAATATCTGTACAAGAGAAACAACAACCCAGTTAAGGCAGTCATTTACTTCTTAGGAAAAGCAATTTCAGCAGCTAAATATTCTTTTACTTTGTAACATGAGGAAACATAAAAGCTACTTGTTATCCAGTCACTAATGAAATGAAGCAAAATAAAACTTTTTTTAACATCTACTTTTTTCCTGTTAACTGGGTCTCCTTCAGGGAGCTATGAAAAACTGGATGGATGCCATGCATAAACTGTGTTCTCAAGCAATTCTGATGTTTGTTAGAATTAAACTGCCCAATAAACTGAACAAAGTAAAGATGAATAGTAATGCACAAGTGACATCTGGACTTTGATGAAGTTAACTACCTCACATGGGATGAGAATTTCTAAACACCCATTCGCACACATGTAAAAAGGAGTAACTCCACCTGCTTTGCCTACCATGCTGTTCAGCAGCTTCTGCTGCCTCAGTCGCTGTCTTCACAGTGGAGATATCACTTTCCCTTTTCTCCTCTTGGCCATCATGCTGTTCTCTCCCTTGCTTCAGAAGGGACTGCCAGACAGCCACTATAGTGTTCATGTCTGGTAAAAGCTACAAGCAAAAAGAGTAAATTGCAATAGCTCTCCTGCATGAGACAAAACTACTGTGACACAAATATTCACAACCAACCAACACAAGGATTTGCTGCTTTTCACAAAGGTTGCGACTGATCTTGTATGCGATTGGGAAAAGATCTGAAATCAAACTGTACTTTCACTTCTGCAGAACAGAAATACTGGAAAGAACACTTCATTGAAAAAGTTTCCTGTAAAAAAAATTACATTTGGTTCTTCATCTTCATGGTATATTATCAACCCAAGTGCTACTTTGTCTAGTAACTTCTAACTCCCAATGAACTCTGTTGGCTATAATTTACTTGAGCCAGAAGGAGAATTTGGTTCTGAGCCTGCTCCTAGAATTCATTTGCAGTAGAATAGCTGCCAATGTTACAAAATTGTCTCACAACAAAATTTTATTTCCATCTCCACCAGCCAGCTTTGTCAGGAAATGTATTCTACTACCACACCAGCTATTAACACCTTTTAACGCATGCCCTTCTCCTCCTGCTGCTCAAAGATAACGTCTCCTGACTTCCAGGCCCCAACCACTTGGGAGAAAGTGGAGAGGAGTAGTTATCTGCTGCAAAATGACTCATGTTATACCCCCATTGTCTCTTTATTTTGTACCTTGCTGATGGCTTCTCTGTACAGCTGCACGAATTCTTGCATCATTGACAGCGTGTAGATTTCTGACTTTTGCCAAGTTTCTTCACTCAAACAGTACTCAATATTCTTCAAGGCTCTTCTCAGAATCATTGATACAAGTGACAGTATGCTGTGCTTCACTACTGGGCTGGGTAACTAAAAGAAGGGAGTTGAATTAATGCTTCCTTTTCACTGCTTCTTCTTATCCTTTGCACATAATCTGTACTCTGACTATATACTAACATTTGTTAATGAATTATTTCCTAAATCACAGCTTGCAGGAAAGATCTGTAGGTTTTCAGATTCCCAGCCAAAACTTCTAGTGAGTATTGGCAGAGTTGGTGCTTGTGAACAGCTCTTGGAAGCAGCATCAATGGGTTTGAATTCATTTTCCAGTGCTTCCACAAGCCAGCTTTATACTGGGACAGACAATATAAAACGTATGCAATTAACTAACTTAAACTTGTTGGATGATCACACACTTAAATCAAACAGTATTAATAAGGACAGAAAAATCCAACTAAAGACTTACATTTAGTCCTTGGGTGAACATTATTTTATTGCACACTGCAGGGACTGTTGTTATCATCACCATAGAAAGCAACCTGGGAAGAGGAATAAACTCTGGAGTCTTAAAAGAACTGGAAATCTCTGGTTGAGCCTCATAGATCTGAAATAAAAATAACAATATAATCAACATTGATACAGCCCTGGAGAGAACAGTTTCTTCTGGGGAGCATTTTAGGGAAGGACTTTGACTTGTCAAAAGTAATGTCAGCATGAAATACCAATTTTTATGAAGAAATACTATACAGCATCCCCCAGACTCCTATTCAACTAAGTGGAACATCTGTATGTGACCTGCACCCCTGCTAAAGGCCACGCATTTTCCACAGACTGCAGATCCTACTTGCCCATTTTAAGCAAAAGCAAAGAGTCAGAGGAATATTCAGAAAGGACAAAAGGTTTTTCTAGCTGAGCTTCGATGTGATGTTTCCCACTGCTGCTTATGCCAATTCCTTCTTTCCTGGTTTATTTAAATGTTTATACAGCCTCCTGCTCTGAGCATGGCTTTTTACCAAGTGACCTTCCAACTCGCTCTATGTCTACACTTTTTAAAGCAGCTGTGGCTCTAAGCCATGGCTCATTTTCCTCAGCATCCACAGAAAACAAGATGCCATTCCCCCCCCTCCATTTACCATCTTCAACATTTAACAGCATCCTGCTGCTCCTTTCCCAGCACATCTATGGTAATTGATGGCTCTATTTCAGAACCACTAAGTCCTTCCTGTTTAGCACACTTGAATCTCAGTCACATAGCTTCCCCACTGCTGGACTGGTTTGTTTTTAAAATAATTTATGAAATACTGTGCTTTTTAGTGATTTTAACAAACTCTAAAGCACTGTGCATTTACAGCTGGGAACACAACACATCTTCAGACATGTGAGTTTCCTCTGATACAGAACAGCTTGCTTCCGAAATAAAAATTTAAAAACCCACCAACTCCCTGATCCTCAGCTTAGTAATCAATGAAACCTTGTTCCTTGTCACTAGGAAGACCTCAACTAAGATAACGAATTCAGAGTTAGTTTATACCTAACATGGCCACATCACAGGCTGGCCAGGCTCTCTGCTGCACACTACCCAAACTATAACAAATTTTACAAAGGAATAGCATTACAATATATACCTGTAATTAAAGTATTGGGATTGCATATTTCTAGGGAGAGGTGGTGTGCACCATTCATACTCTTACTTTTTTGAGTAACTTCATATTGTCCATCCAAGCTGACTTCAGTCTAGGAACAAAGGAATATTGGGTCTCCTTAAAGTATCTGTTCAACAAATCTGGGCACACTTTAAGAATATTCACCAGGAGATCAGCAACCATTTCATCTTCTGTTGCAGTTTTTAAACCAAGCAGAAAGCGCAGAAGCACCACATTTCCTCCCCTAGTGAAGGAAAAAAAAAACTTTAAAAAAGAAATCCTTATTTCAATACTTTATATGTGATGCTAACTCTGCAATTCCTCTAACTGTGGCTGCAATAAATTCAAGGCAAGACCCTCACACTGCTGGCATAATTTCTGAGTTTATATCAAAAAAGTAAAAACTGAATTTACTTCCAGGTTTTCTGTATGACAAAGAGTAATTACTTCTAATTAAACCCACAATGTTTCAGAAATATTGTAGCCAAACTTCACAAAGCTAAAAATTGAGAATTAAAACTCAATGTTAAACTTGGAAGTATCTTCTGTGGTCTTTCAGTCCTCTTTTTAAGTTAACTTCTGTATGTGCCTAAACAAAGTGAGGATACCAGAGATATGAGATGAATATCAGCTAAAATTTTGCTCAAAGCAAGAAACAATCTGCTCTAGCAGCACTCAGTATTAGTACTCACTACTACAATCTAGTGCCTTCTTTGCTCAGCTAATGTGATGAAGCATAAACTCACCCTACGAGAACTCCTCCACAGAATTACAAGTGTCTTAAGTATTTCTCTATCATTTATGATCTTAGTGCACATGCATTTTAACTAGTTAGCAAATGGAAACAGAAAGGCAAACAGGTCCTTCCAGATTAGGTGTTGCAGGACAAATTCTAGCATTACTAAAATAAATGTTGACATTTGGCAAAATCTGGGATAAATCACGTCTGGTTCTACAAAATATAAATTAGACTAGATATTTTACTATCATTTGGTTTACACTGCAGCTCTGATGCTTTATTATCACCCCTCCAAAAAAAAAAAAAAACCCCAAAAACCAAAACAACTACGGTCCAAAAATCACACCTTACAATAAGTGATTTGTTATCTAGTTATTCATGGTGATGGTTCAGAGAAACACCAACATTGCCTAAGCATCTATGAATAGGGCAGAGCACTCTCTACTCTAGTATACAGAGGTAGAAGGAGAGCCAACAGTTTGATCTTGGTAAGTTAAAAACAAAACTAACAAAAAATGCAACATATTTATTTCTTCTGCCACAGAAGAAAGAGAAAGGGAAGCAGAATTCAGTGAAGTCACTGGCAAAGGCCTAAAGGGCCAAGGTAACTAGTGAGGTTTCTCTTGTTCCCAGCAAAAAGCACACATACAATCTCAAAGCACACATACAATCTCAGCTGTCTAGTGACTTACTTGCCAGAAGTTCCAAGACTTGGATCATAGAAAGTTATGCCATGTTTCAGAGAGCAGCAGAGGTCCATTAAGAAATTATGAACAAGTTCCCGTACCATCATCTTTCCCACATCTTCAGAACCTTTAGTCACCTATAAAAACCAAAAAGGAGTAAGAGGAGTAATTCTTGGTATCACAAAAGATCAGATACATTTCACTCTTCTCTAAATTTTATGAGGCTCCTTTTATGCAGAAATGCTAAAACATAGTTTGGCTTTTGTTCAGATTAACAAGACAAATTTCAGTTTCTCTATTAAATGCATTAAATATTACAAGAGTTTTTTTTTTTCAAGGAAAGCAAACCTGCAAAATTTAGGTACTTTCTGCAGGGCATTACTGACTTAGGCTTTTTTGCTAAGAAGCCAGACAGAAGATAGAGAAAAGTCAAGCTAAAGAAAAGTAGTGATATAAAACTTATTTCAACTGGGCAAGGCTATCCCTGGGACTTCGAAGTCAAGGATCTAATATTTAATCTGAAATAATCAACTTGCAACCTCACAAGCCAGGTTCACTATAAGGAAGTTCAGAAACACCAAAAAAAAAAAATCACTGAAGCCTCCAGCATAAAGCACATGAAACAAGCACATGTATGTCTTTTGGGACAATTCATCAGAGGATGGAACAACTTAAATACAGGGCAAGAAAGAGGGATAGCTAATAACACAGTGAATATGCCAACACTTCAGGGAAAGGAGGTGAGGCATCAACACCATTACAGTCACCATACAAAAATAGAAGAAGTGACCAAATAGCCATGTCAAGCCAAAAGGGAAAAAAAAAATAGTGAGCCCAGATTCTATTAATCTTTTACATCCAACACAACTCAAGATCCCTCCAAATGAGAAGTCTCTTGACAATTGCAGTTGGGAAATCACAGACCATATGACTCACAAAGACTGCACGGAACAGCAAGAATTTAAAATTACTCAAAACTGAAATGCATGTTTATTAACAGGATCACAGATTTGCACTGCTCCAAGCGGACACCTACTGAAACCAGATCTCTTCCAGAAGGTGTTTACCCATCTATCAGGACTGCAATGGCATAGGGATAAACATCCAGGAGAGGAAGTGTAAGAAGGCAGTTGCTCAGTGTTAGGAGCTTCGAAGAAGAATGGTTGGCCTTCTACAGATCAAGGGTTAATCAACACAAAGGTGAAAAGTCAGCAGCCCAAAACCACTGGAAGCATAGAAGTATTTCTACTGCTTTGCACTGGGCTTACAGTCATGCCTTAGCTATTCCCACAGTGAAAGGGAGGAAAAAAGAAATTACAAGATTAAGGAAAAAAAAGGCAAAAATGTAACCTATGTATGAGGAGATGACAAAACATCTGCAGTGATAATACACACCCACCAGCTGCGGCCCGGATCCTTGCCTCATCTATGACTTTAGGAATGTGATTTCATGGACTTGTAGAATCGATAACGGCTCAACCCTCAGAAACCCTGCCAACCTCTCAAACAGTGCAAACTGAAAAGGCTGGAAACCATCTGGGGAGTTTAGCTCTTGTGTCAGAGCAGTGTGTAGGATAGGAATGAGGCATAAGGTAAGAACACTGGTCCTGATATATTCTCCTATAGAGACAAATGAGTCCAGGCAATGGGATACAGTACTTGCACCCACAAGCCCAATTTCTCCCTGGTTAACAGATCTGCACTGTAGTTCTGGCAATCGGGGAGGGCAAACAAACATTCCTCCTCAAGCAGTGAGAAGCAGCAGAAAGTCAGGGTTTCTTTTTAAGCAGCCTCAGCAGATCCCTCTTTTTGAGCTCATCGAGGTTAGAGTAACAGAGCTATATCAAAAACTGTGCCCTGCAGGGGGTCAAGGGGGGAAAGGCAGGAGAAGGAGTTACAAAGAAATAATTACCAGACCTTTAAATCCCCAGGGCTGACATCAGTAATCCCATTCCACCGGTAAAGTGAAGCAATGTGAATCAACACTTCTGCAGTAAAAAAGCGCACTTTCTGGGTCTTGGTGATATTTTTATTTTGAACCACCTGAAAACAATGAGGAAAAAAACAAACAACTCTTCTATTTCTTGCAAGTTATCACAAAATAATGGCAAATTAGCAACATACTTTACTCTCCCAGTACACACACAGCTCACTCTCCTCACTACAGCCAACAAAAGGTTCTGCCTGTCCTGTTAATAAGACTTCTTTCACATGTTCCTGCTCCCATCTTGATATGCTTGAAGCCATAGGACTCTACATCAACTTCTGCAAACACTGCACATGCTGAACAGGACTGACTTTCAAGTTCAACTAAAGAGCACAGGAAGTATTTATATCTGGGGAGATCTTATAGTGGCCTTCCAGTACCTGAAGGGGGCCTACAAGAAAGCTGGGGAGGGACTTTTCATAAGGGCAGTTAATGACAGAACAAGGGGAAATGGGTTTAAGCTGAAAGAGGCGAGGTTTAGATTAGATATTAGGAAGAAGTTCTTCACTGTGAGGGTGGTCAGACACTGGAACAGGTTGCCCAGAGAAGCTGTGGATGCCCCCTCCCTGGAAGTGTTCAAGGCCAGGCTGGATGAGGCTTTGAGCAACCTGGTCTAGTGGAAGGTGTCCCTGCTGATGGCAGGGGGGTTGGAACTGGATGATCTTTAAGCTCCCTTCCAACCCAAACCATTCTATGATTCTATTTACAGTAGCACAGCCACAGACTAGGATCATGGAAACCTGCGGGTAGAGATGGTAGAACCTGAGGAAGTCCTCAAAAGTTCTCCCACTGTTTTCTCCTGTCCTAATTTTTTTACATCTCATTGTCCTTGCTAAATTGAAGGAGTCATACAGTGTGTTATATTTCATCAATAACGTAACAGTTCATGATGTATGATTCTCACATGGGAAAAGCTTCATTTAGAAAACAAAGTTTGAAGGAGACTTATTTTACATTTAAGTGCTAGACTTTTTTTTACTTCTTCTTCTTCCAGGGTTATTGCAATTAAAATAAATGAAAGAGTATTTTTGGCTTTGAATTATCAGTTGTGAAAAGCCTGAGTTTTGAGGCAGGCTCTTATGGTTACACTCTAAATTTGGAACTATTTTTTCTTCATTCTCTTAATTGGTCATACAACAGTTTGTATAACATTGCTACAGTAATTCAAAACAGAGATTCAACAATCATAGATACTGGAACTAAAAACATTTTTCAAAACATTTTTATAGAAATAAAATAAATCTCTGGTGCAGTTACTGTACCCACAGCAGCAACGAGCTGGTGCACCACAGTGAAGAGGCACTGCCGTGCTCAGAAGCTAAGGACCAACAGAGCACAGGAAAGGCAGTCGAGACTAAACCAACTCTCACACCTTTCAACAATTCCTGCTTTCAAGTTTTCTGTCTCAACCCTGCTATATCACAAGGTTATTTCTGTCTGCTATGAAAGAAACAGAAAAAGCAACTTCAAAGAGGAGCAGACTTACCTCTCCAACAGTACTTTCTGATAGCAGGTGGAATGTACCCTTTCTTTTTCAGAAAACCTCTGATTTTGGGAAGACAATTTTATTATAAGACTTCCCTTTTCCTCTATCCCACCAAGAAATTTAGCTCCTGCAGCAGAAACTTTGCCATCCTAAAAGTCAGCAAGTCCAAAGACCAGCTAATCACAACCAGAAGATGTGGCCTCAACAGAGCCCTGCCACGACTGGCTGGGGAACAGTACCACATACCTTTCGACTGCAGCCAGACAGCTCCTAGAAACCCATTTCATGTCACAGTCCCTATACTAAAAACACACAAAATCCTTCACCTGGAAAGAAGATTGTACATCATTACCTAGTTCAGAGCTAGCAAATTCAAGCAAATCTATCTGACCTCCCCATTTTGGCATGAGACACATTAATTGAAGGACCAATCTTACGGTCAACTGAAAGCACCAAAAAGACTCCAGTTCTTTTGACCTTCAGGCTTGTCACTGATGCAATAGCAAACCATGAAACAATTGGAATCTGTTGGACACCACACACTAAAGATGAGCTGAAATTAGCATCCAAGTACAAGCTATGCAATAACTTCCTTTCAAAGAGGGCACTGGAAAAGCATAACAAGCTTCAGTCCTGAAAACAGGAATACGGACAAGCTATCAAGCTTCAAAACATATTATCAGTAACGGATGCACTGACAAACCTGCAGCAGCAGCAGAGTGCTAACATCTTAAAGAGTTGTATATTTTATGAGAAATTACTGCAAAACTGTTTCCAGCAGCAAAGAAAATAGAAAACAAGAGAAAGCAGTTTCAAAGGTGTATCGTACCTTAGTTCTCAGTGTGGAAAGTAGAAGATTGACAGTAGAAACTTTATCTTCCTTCATTTCAGAGCGAAGAATATCTGGAATGAAATCTAAGAAGACATTTCAAATGTTAAGTGAAAATGTGAAAGCTATTTTCATACTAAAATGCTTCAGGGAATTCATACCCATTTCACTTGAAAGTCATATTATTAACCTTGCTGTTATATTTAAGGATGAACCAAAAGGCTGCAATTAGAGTTCAGAAGGATAATGTGTCTGTAACTAAAGTGATAGACAAGTGATACTGCCAAACCTACCCTCATCTTAACTAGCTAATTTGCCAACTTGGTTATTAATACTTGCTGCAACAGCCTCTGTCAACTTCAGATATATTTCAGGCCCCAATGTGCTATGCAGCATTTAAAATTGAGTAAGGGCCTACTCTTTCCATCAAAGGACTTGCCATTGTTCCACTGAGTGTTTCTCAAATGTTTGGAGGTTACATCTTCAACCACATGCATCATCTTTTGGCTCCCCTGTGCATCCCAAAGTCAGAGAACTTCAGTATCTTACAGGGGAATGGAAGCCAGCTGTGCTGACTGGGTCTAGGCATGCACTGCCATTCCCTGTTCTGAACAACTGTGAGCAACTAAAGGAAATCAGCAGCCCCCAGGGTAGCATGAACAATAGAAGTAAATAATTATGGCCTGTTCTCACTCACCGTAGAAGAAATTAATTGCTGCTAGCTAATATCTTTCTTTTTTTTAACAGCATTTCTAGATCTTTTCTGAATTCTTTCCCAGCCTTACCAAGGGTCACAATTCACGAAACATCAGCAGTAGATTTCAAGCCACTGAAGTCAACAGAGGCTTTACATTAACTTCAGCATATAAGGGATCAAGTATTAATCAAGTGCATGTAAGATTCAATTTTCTAGATCCTCCTCATTGTCCGTTTGGTTTGAACCCCTTCTCTAAGAGGCATGGGTGTCACATATTCCTGGACTGCACTCCCAGGTAATACCTCCATAAAGGATGCAAAGGACACTACACTGGTCTCCTGAATCACTGACAAAAAGCAGTATAACGGAGCACACAATAGTTGTCCTGCATGAGGACAGAAAGGATACTGAAGTATGCACAGTTTTAAATGGTGGTTTTTTAAATTTCTAATGCATCATATTCAATATTACTGTTTTATGAGCAAAGCTGGAGGCCATGAAGCTTTTTTTCTCCTTATTGAATCTATGGCCTCACAGTTGTTCCACGTGTACCTTTTTTCACGTGTCACCCAAGGGCACCTATTTTTGCACAGTTTTGCAGACTGCAAACATTATTCAAGCAGAAGGGGCACTCACTATGGAATACTGAAGAAGTGTAAAGCTTTTCAGGTAATAAGATTAAAAATATGTATTTTGTACCTTATTAGTGCTGTTTAACTGGTTCACATTTTGAATTAGCTCATATTTATTATCATCTATAAAACACTGCCTTAAAAAAATAAAATACAAGCAATTGTGAAGTACCTTTTAATTCCAGCACCTGTGTCAAGATTGCATTGTCACCAGCAATTAAAAAGGAGAGAGCAAACTGAATATAGGCCATGCGGACATCAGGTCTGCCCTAAAAAAGATAAAAGGCACTGCTAGCACACAGATTGTACACAACAGCAAAATTAATATCACAACAACTGGTTATAAGCACTATAAATGGGTAAATTAAACAACTTCTATAAACATGTTGCATAAAGCCTTACACATATATTTATATGCAATACATATACATAGTATATTAATGTGAAGAACTTATTGCATTAAGCAGATCACAGTCTCTTAAAGTTTACATCAAAAAGGAAGGTGTCCTAGTTCGTGTATTTTTCAATTCTCAATATACGAGATGGGCCATAAATAAAAAAGAAGAAAATGTTAACAGTAGTTTCATGTCAAACCCTTGTACATACATCAGTGAACATTTTCACTTCTGAACCACTTGGTACACTGGTGAATTCACAAAAATACTCAAGAATGGTAATGAGACTAGTGCTGCTGCAACTTCTTACTATGCAGGCTTCCAGAGCAATGCCAGTTTTGAGGATTCCGGCTGCTGGTTGCCACCTTTGAGCTGCAGTGCATTACACACATCCCTCAGCTGGCACATTCATGCAGCTACCCAGGTCACAGACTGGCACAAAAAAACCCCCAACCTCTTAAAAAAGGGGCTAGTATGTTATAAAACCACGGATTCAGGCACAGTGGAAGTAATGAAAGCTTTGCCTAGAAAAGGATCATAGGACAGGAACACGATTTATTGGTTTTTGAAACTTACTGCACAAAATTAAGCTGCATGTAAAAATGCCTGAAAGATACTGAGTAGGCAAAACATAAGGCAGGACTCATGCAAGGGTTGAAAGAAAAAATAAAGAGGAAGAAATGAGATTTTGCTGTAAGCTTTGGGCCTGATACTTTTGTATTAAAAATTCACCTTCAACAGCCAGTTGTGACATAATAATTTCACTGAAAACTGAGCAAGATCTTCAATCTTTTGTTTCTGGCAACTTTTTCCCTTGTACCTTACTTGCATATCTAATAAGCTTGTGGTCAAAAGACTACCTACCTCCAAGCATTTTAATTTAAGAGGTGGAGGTATTTCTAAAGACAACTTCTGCAGTAAAGTAAAAAAACATTAAATCTGACATTCCCAAAATTGTCTGGACACAAAGCAATCAAGTAGAAGGCAAAAAACCACACACCTTTCTCCACAAAACCACCTTTTATGGTCTCATTTGTCATCACAGTTGGCACCAACCCAACCCAAATGTAAGTGTTTATTCTGCAAGTCATGTTTAAAGATTACAAACAATCTATCAGCATTGAAAATAACACTGGATTTATTATACGCTTATATTTGAAATTAAATATAAATATTCTTGTTCTGCAACACTAGTTCAGGACAACCCTGATTATTTTTAGCAAACGGAGAGGAAACAAGTAATAAAGTTCTTTTTGGACGAAGAGGATTGAGTTCTTCTACTTAACTCGCACATCCTCCTTAAGGATTTCCGACAAGAGATTGTTTAAACTTCCTGGTTATATTTTCAAATGCAATTACTCTGACTGTACTGGGCAAAATTCTCTCTCCATTTCTACAACTGCACAATCTCCATCTACTTCAGTGGGATCAAACTGCAATGTACTCATTGGAAAAAAGACTGAGCTCTTCCCAAACACTTCACTGTCCAGTTTTCAGAAGTTTACCATCACTTCCACTCCATTTTAAACATTAAAACAGTGGCCCACAGAAACTGGACATTTCTATTTCACCACAGCTTACTAGAAACAGACAAGGCACTTTGACCGTTTTGCAGTAAATTCTACAAAGTAATGTAAAAACAAGGTTATCCTGAGGAGCTCTGCACCCTGACAAGATGAGAAAGACCAGCACAGGATGGAAAACAAAGCAAGCTATACCTCAAGGGTACAGGCCGGCTCTCTCACTATAACAGATATTCAGAAACATGCCCTGGGGATTTCCTATATAAGTAGACGGGAAGCTCTTGCCCCATAGATCAGTTCTGCTGCCAATTAGAAACAATCAAGAAGCATTTCAGCCTGACACAGGACAGGAAGGAAAAGGTAAGTTCTTGCGGATGAAAATACAGCAGAGAGACTTTGGCAACAGCTTAGTTTTAAATAGTTGGCAGAAGAAAACTGATGGAGTCATGGTGCAGCATTTCATGGCACACACGCAATTTACCTTCTTACATCTTTTTTTCAATAATCCAGGCAGAAACTTATTATTGAAATCAAAATGGCTATACACATCCCTTGCTGAATCTGGCCCCTGAGCCACCATTGCTGACAACAGGGTAAGGCACATTCGGCTCATCCTAAAACAAAAGGCAGAGGAAAACCTGCAGGTTATTTCCAGGATGACAAACAACCAAATCAAGATATTAAAATTTAAAGAAAGACCTTTTTCCCCATTAAAGAAATTATCCGACACCCACACAAGCCTTCAGGAGTCTGAGGTGTGAAGCAGTTCTGAGTCAGTCCCAACACAAGCACTCAAGATAGCTGTTAGGAAAGTATTCCCAGTCATGCAAAGCGCTCGCTGCAGTTGATGGGAACTTTAGTTGAATATGTAACCAACTATTTTAATGACCATCACAATATAGATTAAGGCCAAACACACATAAACCACTATTCACAAAGAACTTCGATCTTCTTTGTCAACAGTCTATTTCTACAAACATATTGCTTGGACAGAGCCCCCAGTCCTGCAAATGCTTATGTGCTTCACTCCACAAGCAGCTCCGTAGTAGCTACAGCTGATCCTAAAATTAAGGACACACAGAGCAGGCCAAAGTTAGACTGCACTTTTCCTGTTTCAGCTGAATGACAGAGGTCTTCTAAGTATACAGCATGGTCTCGTCATGAACTAAATCCCAAGACCTACACTCAGTTTTGATTCTTGCTTACTGACCACTGGGAAAAACTGACTGAGAAAATAGAAGGGAAGTTAAAACAACCAAAACCATTATTTTAGGCAGTGATGATGGCAACTGGGAAGGAGGGGAGAGGGAAGAAGGGAAAAGGGAATGCCTATTTACATTCTTCCCAAAAATTAAGCTGTAATGAGAAGCTGGATATTCACTTCATAAAGTAAGATAAAAAGAAGAAAGTGACAAAAATTAAGATCTCCTAAATTTGTGGGAGTTTGCAACTTATTTCAAAGGGAACATGGCAGGGCCATTGGGTACAAGTCTGCAGACCCACATCACCTGAATAGCCACTATCCATTAAGGGTTTTGGAATCTGTCCATCATGTTTCATTCATGGACCATATATGTAAAAAAGCCATATGATTAAAGCAGAGATCCAATCTAGACATACCACCACAATCCCTTTGCATACCATCAGAAATCTGCAGCCTCCTCTGTGCAGGTTCTAGAAGGATCTGTCCAAAAGCTGTAATCTTCAAATGCTTATTAAGAAGCGCAGATCTTGCATAGTTTCAAAATTTATTTTACAATATACCTATCAACTCATATTTGGGATTCTATGTACAGTTAAAATGCCTGTTGCAGTAAGATCAGCTGAGTGGCGCAGGAAGTGTGGTTGTGCCCAAGAACTGGAAAGCAGAAAATGCTCTTCTAATTCTGGCCTGTCCAAAGACTGAATGACAAATCACTGGCCTTGGACAAGTCATTTGCAATCTCTACTTTTTCTCTCCTTTCCTCTTCCTCCCAAGTTTGTACTAAAATTTATCTGGCACTTGGAACTTCTCCCACCCTGGACATGAGAAATTGTTGTTTAGACAGGACTAGGTAACACGAGTGCTTAAATTGGTCTAAAATGGCCTTAGATTAAGAGACAGGAAAAACTACAGAAGAAAAGCCAGTCTGCAAGAAAAAATTCTATTATAAACATGGAAATCTGACTACAAAAATCCAGGGAAATAAAAGACTCAAGAGCAGTTCTTTTTGACATCAGAGATAGACTGCTCAGCCTCTGTGAACACAAGAAAGCCTCTTACTCCCTGTTCCATGTAGTACATTTCAAAAACAAGTAGCATTAAAATAATAGGACTCGATACAATCCACTTTACATCTCACTAGGACAGGCACAATCAATGAAAACTACAGCCTCTGAAAAATATATAGCATTAGATTGTGTATTATATCAGAGCTTCTACCTTGCAAAGAGTTCCACATGCAATTATTTTCTGAAATGTGGAAAAGAACCATTAAATAAAGATGGATTGTTTGCAATAAGTCAAACTGATTTTTGCAACATCTTGTACACATGTGCAAGACCCAGACAGCCCAATTCAGAGCAACTGACAGAGATTCTCCGCAACAGTACAGAGAAGACTTACCTGTGATTTTCCGAATACAAAGCAGCATAGACCAATCTCATGTAGGAATGAATCAACTTTTTGACTATGTTCATTCCCACAACAGAAAAATGGGAGAGGTCACTGGCTGTCCTCAGTAAAATGGCCTCTAGAGCTTGAAAGATTAATAGCATCTGTAAGACACAGAAATATGTTAAAATCTGCCAATATCAGGTACAGCTTGAAATTATTAGCTGAGCAAACAGCAACAAACACTATTGAAAAAAAGAGTAACCCCACCACAAAAGGAAACCTTCCACATATGAAGTTGAAGTTAACTTCCAAATTCTTTCCCAAATTAATTTTTCCTCTTCTAAAGGATTAGTTTTGAGAGTGCGAATTTTCAAGGAAGCCCCTGTACAAATACTATCTGAAAGACTAGAGAACCACAGGAAGTCAGCCAACCCCTCTTTTTTTTTTTTTCAGTTGTTAAACTCATGAAATTCAGTAGTAGGGAAGGACAATCTCTGTGGGAAGCCCAAGCCAACATGCTGACTTAAGGCCTGGACAAATAAACTGAACGTAAAAAAGGGTCCCTCCTCATACATGAATTGAGACCTACATGCATGATTCATCTGCGTACGCCCAACAGTTTCTGGGGTTGCAAACGTGGACTGCAGTGCAAATCTCAGCGCAGGCTGATGGATCCTGAAGGTCTTTTCAAGCTGGAGGCCAAGACCCAGGGCCAATGAATCAATGCTTTAAGAGACAACTGCTAGTAAGTGCACAATGAAACGTGCTGAAGAAAAGGATCTGAGCTGCCCTAGTCTTGCAATTAACTCCTTCTAGATGAGTCCAGAGTCCACACAGCACTGGGACTGTATTCATTATAAGTATTAGCTTCTGTTAGTAAAAGGATCTTGAAGAAAGCATGTCACTGAACATGACACAGGTTGTCATAACACAGACAAAAAATTATAATCTAATGCAAAGACCAACAAGTGGAGGTTAAAAAGAACATTATCCAATTTTATGTCACATGTAGATTTAAGTTAATAATGCTGATAGAGTATTCACAGTGGAAAGAGTTTTATAATTCTCTAGTTCATTCACCATATTCTGATGAGGAAAAATTGTGTCCAGCTCAGATGAGAAAAATGTGGTCAACTTTATCAGTGGCTTCCTAGAATTACTGATGTATGAGGGAGATGTCTAGTTATCTAAAAACAGCTACTTTCACTGGACTGTTTTTTTCTTTGCCTACCTGCTTCTGGTGACCCCTTTATTTTTTTAAATGGTCTTCTGATACCATTTAAAGAACCTTAACAGTTTCATTTTGGCAGGACCACGGGTTGTGTGTATCAATAAACCCAGGAACATCTTTGCACTGGAAAGGCCATTTCCCACTTGAGCAGTGCTTCTGCCACTGTGACTTCCAGGAAAAAAAAACACCCCAAAATCTGTATCAAACCATCAGAGTTATTTATGCTGCAAAGCATTTTTGGCGGTTCCTCTCGCAGGCAGGACGCACGCTGCCAGTCATCGCGCTGTAATACCCACGGGCAACTCACTTCACTTTCGGGCTTCCTTTCTCCATCCAGAAGTTTGAATATCTCCGCACACTCCATGGAAATTTTCACGTACCCCTCCACGACGTCATAGATTCCGGGTGACGGCAGCGTCTTGGCAATGGAGATGAAGGTCTCCAGACCTGCAACGCCAGAGTTTCACCCGGGGGCCAAAGCCTCGCCCGTGACCCGCTACGAGCCGCCCCCCGGGGCCCGCAC